TTGGTGAGAATTGAGTGAAAGGCTGTGTGGTGCTGAGCTGCCTGCTGGGTTAAAACACAACACATGATGAAGAGTGTAATTATTAATAGTTTCCAAGAGATGGTTCCCAAAGTACGGAGATAATGGCAATACTGAATACAGATACCAGATTAATCTCGCAAGCAGTGAGTTATATAGTAATGGTGTGAGATAGTAAGCAGCCCAAGAGGGAGCACAGACAGCAAGTGTTCCATAATGCAATTGTGAGAAAGAGCGTGACAGCTCTGAAAGTAGAAGGATCAACATTGTCACCAACAACTATAAAACTAATGTAATGCTTATTACAATTTTGTTTCAACAGGCTCTTGTCAGATCTGTTGTTACCTCAACAGTCAAGCTCCATGTTGGGCACCCAAAGTGGTTTAACCCAGCTGTGAGATAAGCAGTGTGCAGCTGTTTACTCTCCCCCTCCATAGTGAGGTGCAGTAGAGGATCAGAAAAAAGGGAAGACTTGTGGGTCGAGATAACGACAGTTAATAGGACAGAAAGGCAAAAGAAAATAATAACAGTAGAAGAATATATTAAACAAGTGATGTAGTTGCTTACTGACCAATGCCCAGTGGGTCTCTGAGCAGCAGTTTCCCCAGTTTTATAGTTCAACACAACACAATATGGTATGCAATAACCCCTTAGCAAGTTTGGGTTAGATGTCCTGTTTCTGTCCCCTACAAGCTATCTGTGCACACCTCTCCCCAGCCCCTTTTTTTTCAAGACAGCATGAGGAGCTGAAATATCCTATGCACAGAACTATACCAGCTACTAGGAAGAAAATGAATTCAGTCCTAGCTGATACGAGAACACTTGTCTTAGAGTCTTTCTCAGATGCCATCAGCAAAGAGGTAGAAATTTTTGCCTGTATTAAATGATAAATTTTATCTTCCATTTAATCTACACTCTCAAGTATTGTCTTTAGTCAAAACAGTTGGAAATTTCATCAGTCTTCTTACATTACAAGTTTTCCTTCCCACTTTTCTACAAAAACTTTTCCTGTTATCAGCGAGCTGACTTTTAAGACCTGCTAGTTAAATATTTGCCTTCCTCTTAGAGGCAGAAACCATTAGCTTTAACTGCTTTCACATTTCTAATTGAATAGCTGGTAAGGTTGACTGAAGAAAGGTAAAGTAAGGGTCAAAGCATCTGCTTGACAACTCAACTGTTGTCATTTAACATTTCCCAGTACGAGAGAGATTGCTTATTGTCTAAGCAGAGATTTAGGGCTTTAGGGGTATTTTTTTAATTAACAAGAGCAATCAGAAAATAGTCTCACGTGTTTCTGTGTCCAGGATTATTATTTGGTATAGGATGCTGAGTGAATAGCTCTTTGTACAAATGGTCTTGCTTACTGTTATTATTATACTATCACATAATTACTGTTTTATGTGAATTGGAAACAGCTTCCTCTCTTTCTTGCCTTATCGTTTCTTACTGGGGCTTGTAGTTCTCCTAATGGATGGTACTGTGAGGAGTGAAACAGTATTGTGTTGCTTAACAGAGCAGAATCCCTACCCTTTTGAGTTGCAAACTAAATGAATGATTGGCCAGTTGAATTTGTTAAATCAGGTGAGGGAGAAGTATTACTAAATATTTACACTTTACCTATTCCTGCATTTTTATATACACAATAGTTAACGTGCTGCTTGGATGTCAGCTTTGAGTCATGGTAGAGAATAGTGGTGGTCTTCAGTTCAGGACTTTTTGCTTCCATTTTAGTCTTCTATTACACAAGTAAGCTCTTTGCAGAACTGTTGTTTAATTTACACATAGCAAATATATCCAATCTTAAGTATTTTCTCTGCTTCTAGAACTTTGCTTTTGATTCTTACTTGAAACAGTCATTTTTTTGTACCACTGAAATTCCTTTTTGTCCTTGTTTTCTTCTTTTCACGAAGATCAAAGGACAAAAAAGTGCTGTCATCTTTTACTAGAGCCTTTAAGAGGGTATTTTTGGGAAATGAGTTGAATTTGTTTCTGAATTGTCTGACCATATGGTCCTCAACTGCAGAGCTTTTTGATTATTTCTGGGTAAACTTTAATATTGTTGGTACTGCTTGGAAAAGAAATGGGAAGGCTGTGGTTTTAACTTGGAGGTTCAAAAGTATATAAGGGTTGTTTTTTAGCAGCAGTTTCAGAAACCTCTGCAAAAAGTACTACTAAAGGCAGTCTTTATCATTCTAACTACATGACTGGGAAATAAGCATCTGAGCCTACTTCAGAGAAAAATGTTATTGTGCTTAAATGTCTTTAATCAACCATTAGCATCCACTGTGTCTGGAACCTATTAGGTTTCCTCTGTATTAATACAGGATGGTGAGTCCCAAGGGTAAAAAAAATCCAGCCCTCGGATTTCTAATAACACTTTTAAATGATTATATTTGCAACTGAGAATGTTTACTCCATTCTGTCACATGCTAATGTAATTTATATCAGCTTGTCGTGTGGTTGATTGCATCATACATAAACATTTTATTACTTTGTTAGGTTATGTCTGGAGAAGATATTGCTACAATGCATTATCCAGTCAAGAACTTTGTCAGGAGCTGATGCCATCCATGCTCTCAAACCTTTCTACTTTGCTGTGCATCCAGATTTCTTTGGCCAGCATCCCAAAGAGAGGGTAAAAATCTTACAGCGGGCTTTCTTTGTAAATGTGACATATGTCAAAGATGGGAGAGATCTGTTTTCTGTGCTGTCAGAGTGCAGAAAGCACTGAGGCTGAAAATAGTTGTTACAAAAGAGCAAAAGGAGGCATTGTTTCTTTAAGACATCTATTCTCATTAAAAATAAACTTTTTTTTTTTTAATTTAAGAGTTATATTTTCTGTTTAGTTGTGATGAAAATATGAAATTCTTCCAGTCTAATTTATAATGCTTACTGCTTGAAAGGCTGTATGTTATGTTTGAAATCAATTGTTTTTTTTTTAAGCTCAAGAGCCTTAAAAATGAAGTTTGTGCAGGAATGTACAATTATGTACATCATGCAGTGAATTCGTGCAAGATAATTATTCATTTATGCTGAAAATATGAACTGTGTGACTATTCAGTAAGAGCAGCTGGCAGATGGTAAAAACAAATTCTACATGTGAGATTGAAGAGGTTTAGATGAGAACTGGCCACTTTTGTAATTTTTTTCTTTTTATTTATTTTTTTAACAGGCAGTAAATGAAAACTCTCTGAAGAGGTTAAATGGCTACTTGGAGAATCTACAGAAACCAGGATTTCACTCCTTTAAGCCAACTCAGCTTACCTTTTATGTAAGAGAAAGAGAACCAAACTCTTCTAGTGTTCAAGAATCCTTCAGTACTTCAGGTGCTTTTATATAATGCAGAATGTATCTTCCTGTATTAAAATTTTTTAAGAAAGGCCATTCCTTAACCGTGTGCAGTCACAATGACTTTTCAACTATGAAATTCAATGATTTTCAAACCATGAAAATGTGTATTAAATGAGACCAGCTAAGACTATCTCAAGTAGTTAAACAATTTGAGCTTTAAAAAGCATTAAAAGAATGAGAATTTGAGATTGAGATTAAGTGAGAGTATGATGAAGTGGAAAACACAATTGTCAGTTATAGTTGTTGTGCTTTTAGTACCACTATTTGTGTTTAACTGGAAATACAGCAGGGTCCTTGTTTTTATTGAAGGCAGTGTGTAATACTTAGTATTAGGGTGCTTATGGGATCAGCAGGAATTTATTCTGAAATCAGAAGGTCTGTTAATAACTGAAGTTTGAATTTGCTGCATGGACTCTTAGCTTTGAGACTACAGATGATATTGCCACATTTCAAATACAGGTTTTGATTAATTTTGTTTTCCATATTTATGTCTGTTGGATCAGTATGCCTTATCTAATAGAAGAGTTTCACATTCTGTGTGCTGCTGGTCAAGAAGCATGAGCTAAGTGTGAGAGACTCTAGTAAAAGAAAACAATCATACAGTACTCAAGAAAATAGTAGCAGTATGTTCAGTCCATTTAAAATAGTGATTGAGCAGTTTAAAAGCTTCTGCTTTTTACTGCAGGACTGGCTTGCTATCTGATGGGGCAATTAGTCCAAACACTTAACTACTGGACCTTAGTTTTATCCAGTGTGCAAATGTAGTGTTCTGTTCTGAAGCTTTTCTTCATAGTCTGTGAAGAGCTGTTACACTACTGCATTTCCATACTAAATTCTATGCAAATTGATGATGAGTACTAATAGGAATTCTGTGTTGAACTGCCACTGCTAATGCAAAAACACTTTCTCATGGGTTTTGCTGCATCTATGGCTAGGTTTTCAACTTATGCAATCATTCAGTTGCTTAAAAATGTTTATGGTTTTGGGAATATGTAATTTTAAAGGTTCAAATGCTTTCAATTTTGAGGTGAATATTGAAAAAACAATGTGATAGTAATTTCTACCTATGTGCACCTTTGCTTTAGTTCTTGTATGAGAGAAATGTGAAAGCATTTAAAGCAACATCAACTAAATAATGCTAATTTTGTGAAACTTGTCTTTTGTAGGGTTTCGAGCCGTCAGTTTTACTTTACACACACGAGATCTCCTGAGCACAGTATTAGATATTCTCAACTCCTGCAGTTTATCTACAGAGCATATTCAGAGTTTGAGTGTGAACTCTCAGCCCCATAAGGAGGCAAAAAGGGCACTGAACAGACCTATCAAATGGGATAAGACTTACTATTCATTTACTGGATTCAAGGATCCTGAGGAAGAACTTGACCAAGCCCAAAGAGTGGAAACAACTTTAACGTATGTAAGGCTTTTATTTATGGTTTTTTTTTGTAAGATAATAATACATGAAAGGAGATAATACCATGAAAATTAAGATTGGAATGTTTTAAGTTGCCAGATGTCATAGCACTGTGCTTCTAATGTGTTGTTTGGGGTACCAGCCTTAAATTAAAGCAATTATAAATGCTGAACTTGCATTAAACGCATGACAATTAGTTGTAGAAGTTAGTTGTTTATAAACTGTTTGCTTATGCTGATTTTGAGGACAAACTAAGAATGCTGTCTCAAAACCCCTTTTTATAACAGTGAGACTTAATTCAATTTGAAATAAATTTAACATTGCGATAGTAGCATCTTCAGAGCAAAAAATATCCGTTATCCTACATAGCATTTCCCAAGGAAAACTGCTGTGCTTATGCTACTGTAAAACAGTAAATCGAGAATTACCAGGTAGACAATGTTTTGTAGTTATTTTTACACATTTACAAGGAGTGACGCAAACAGTTATGTATTAACAGTCTTGTTTCAATACCTAGCCATTTGGCACTGGGCCTCCTTTTTTGTTCAGGTTTGTAACTTTTTTTTCCCCTTAGAGTACTGTATAAGGCTAAATTAAAGAGTAACTTTCTCCTACAGATGGAATGGTTTATTTATTCAAAGCTTTAGAAGTGCTTCATGAGTTGCATTTTGCTGGTTGTGATTACTGGAAAAAGAACGGTAAAACTTTGACCCGTGTAATCTGTGTTCATCCCAGCTTTGTAAGAGTTGTGTAACTTGGCCCTTCAGTACCACCTCCCTTATTTGATGGTCTAAGAGGATCATTTGGGGGTTTGTTTGTTTATTTAAGATATATGATTGGGATTTCATTCATTAAAGCACTAAGTTCTGAAGCTGCTCTCCTAAATAAATAGCACTGATCTGCTGCTCGCCACTTTTTGCAACTCTCAAAATCTAATTGTTGTAAGACTGTCAAAGTGTTTTGTTTAATTTGATTGCCTAGTCCCCAAAACAAGAACCATGACATTTTATTAATATTTTAAGGGGAAGCATTTAGCAGTTTCAGCTTCTTCTCTACTTCAAAAAGACTTTTTTTTTCTTCTAACTCAAATTCTTACCACTAACATTTTATTTTGGTTAGATTACTGTTTGCATGAGAGAAAATACAGCATTCTACTTTTTTTTCTTTTTTTCTTTTTTTTTTTTTTTTTAGATCCTGGTTGGATGATAACGAAGCGAGTGCAGTTGTAAAGCTGAAGAAGAGTTTGCCACTTAGGAAAGAACTAGAACGTTTAAAGTTTGAGCTCTCTCATCAACTCCAGCTCTCAGATATCAGGTAATAAATTACAATAAATTACAGCCCAACTTCCGAATACGCAGTACTTGCTCCTCTAGACAAACATTACACAATGTACAAACAGCAACTGCATGTCGCATGACTGAATCAAATACTGGGTTGTATGTTGCTATTTACTTACTAACTCCCCTCTTATTGACCAAGAGATTCAATTTTCAAATTCTGTTATGTCCAACAGCTTTTATATTTGTTTCTCTTAGAGAGGTTTACTCTGCTTTTTTATCCCATATTGCTATTGGTGCTTACTTCAAGAGAGATTGTTCAATAGCATTTAGGCTTTTATCTCTTCAAATAGCATGGACAGCTTCTCAGTAGGTCTTTCTTTTTATGAGTATTAAAGAAATGTTACTTTTTCAAGCTATAAGCTTATTGTCTGTATCTTAAATCATCTGTTGCTTTTTGTTTTCTTTCGTTTTTATAATGTTGAGAATGAAATGCTCTCAATTGGATTTTTGTTTAGGTGGCAGAGAAGCTGGGGTATTGCTCATCGCTGTAGCCAGCTGCACAGTCTAGGTCGCTTAGTCCAACAGAGACCTGAAGTATTAAAGAATGTCAAAGGTATATTTCCATTACTTGTTTCACATATACTAATATAGTATTGATTCAGAGGTAACTTGAATCTTCTGTGGCAGAGGGACTCTGTTGGTTTTCAGGAGTGCTTTTGATAGCTGCAGGAAAACTTGTCAGGCTTACTGAAAAGCTGGTCAGAATTTACATTGTCTACTGGCTGTTTTTTTGAAGTGACCATTCCTTCCATGATATTCACTACAGTCAGCTTTTATTTTGCTTCTCAATGAATGCAGTCTGAGTGAGGTAAAGTCAGTAGTCTAAGCAGTAAAAACAAAAATCCAACTTGTGTCTTTGAAAGGGTGCTCTGGTTAACAACAGTTTGTTACCCCTGGTAGATGCAAGACAAAAATGCTAGTAAATCTTTGAAGAGTCAATATAAGGAAGGCTTATTAGAACCCCTTTAAAATCGTATTATTTTCTCTTATCATGTGTGTTCCATAAAATACTTACATTGAAGTCTTTTCTCAGGAAAAACTAAAATATTCCATAACGTTAAATACTGAAACAGCTGTTTGACCCATGGCAGTAGCTCTTTGCTGTAGTAGTAACATTTTATGCCTGTCTTCAGATACTCAGTTTTGAGTGACTTTCATCTGGGGGTTCACTTAATCCTTTGTGAAAAGGTGAAGTGGGTAGGATAGTAAATAAATAATAGATTCAAACTGTATTACATTTCAAATTAGCTTTTTTTAACTATGCACGCTGAGGATGTAAAGTACTGGAGAGGTCCTGGGAACCTGCTGTAGTCTCAATTTTTTTTAAGATCTTTAGTAATATACTTAATAACTTAATATACTTAATGACTGTTTACGGAGGTGTATAGCGATAGGACAAGGGAGAATGGTTTTAAACTGAGACAGGGGAGGTTTAGGTTAGATATTAGGAGGAAGTTTTCCACACTGAGGGTGGTGACACACAGGAACAGGCTGCCCAAGGAGGCTGTGGATGCCCCATCCCTGGAGGCATTCAAGGCCAGGCTGGATGTGGCTCTGGGCAGCCTGGTCTGCTGGTTGGTGACCCTGCACATAGCAGGGGGTTGGAACTAGATGATTAATATTGTCCTTTTCAACTCAGGCCATTCTGTGATTTTATGATTCTGTGATTAATAAATACTTGTCAGTAACCATACAGATACAGCTGATCTTGCCTTGTGGTAGGATGATGCACTAGATTTCTTGTAGTCAGCCTTGCACTTTCATTAGGATTTTGGATACACAGTTGCTGAGAGCAGGCTCAAATGTCAGTATGCTTAGGTAGAGAGATGGGTTGAAGAGAAGCTGTGTTTCTCCCATAAATACTACTTTAACATAATTGTCTGCCTTTGGCATCTAGACATTTGAAGAATAACTGATCTAACAATTGGAAGCCATTATATTCAATTTTTTGTCTATTTTTTTCTATCCTAGAAATTCCTAATTAATTATTTCAGTCTCAGCTTTGCAGTTCTTGGACAGCATAATGTCAAAAGTGGAATTATAACCCTTTTTTTTACAGTTGTCCATTATGATTTTTTTATGGAGGCTATACCCTCTCTTTTGATCTCAAGAATCCTGGCTTGATTGGCATGCAGCATTTTATTTAGGGACTTTAGACAGTAACAGACATTTAATGTTCATGCTGCGTAGCTTACCAATTGTCATCTATTTGTTTTATGGTAGTGAAGTGTTTTTATTTATGTTTTGTTTTTTACACTCTGATTTTGGTGCTTGTTAAATTTCAAATCTTCTTATTAAACCTTGTCTTGTAAATGAATACCTTATACTGAAGACTTCTTTTGGAAGCTTATTTTGATAAATAGTTGCTTGTGCTATTACCCTGAATAATCCGTAAGAATTTTTGTACTTCAAAAAAGAAATACACATACATTCTGAGCCTTTTATGTTATTTCTATCCTTAAAACAAGCAAAAAATGATTAGGAAGACATTTCTGATGGCTTGCTTGCTGTGGAGAACTTTGTGGAAGTAATGTTGAACGGTTATGCTAATAGTTCTTCGACTTTTACTGTATTTCTGTATATCTTAAATATATAGCACACGTTTCCTTGGGTATGTGTTATTTGTACAGATCATTTGAAGGAGCTGCTTGCTGATATTTTCCTTTATTAACAGATAGTCTTTGTAAGAAAAAAGTCCAGTTAACTAAAAATCTACTGGATCTATCTGCTTAAACAGGGAGAAAGCAAAAGCTAGTTAAGGTTTGTATGGAAAACTGTTGAACCAGAGTTTTCAAGAATGACTTTTTTGGATTTTGAGAATAAGGAAAGCAACTATTCATTTTGTATGTGCTAGGAAAATGTGTTGCTTGTGGCACGTTAGCAGGGTGCCTAAATCTTACACGATTGTGTGAATGATTGCAATAATGAAAGTTAGTAAGGAGCTTTCTTCTCTCTTTAGGACACACGGTGGTTTTCACAGAGCGCTCAGGTATGAGTGCAGCAGGCCACGTAATGCTGGGGACCATGGATGTTCACCATCACTGGACCAAAGTAAGGTTTCTGTGTTCTGTTGTTATGACATCCTTTTTTAAACTATAGCCAAAATTTTGTTGCTGATTACTGATGAGTAATTTAAAGGAAAAAACATGGCTGCTGTGCTTAGCGTAACCTTGTACATCACATCCTAAATTTAATCTTATCTTACAGCAATTTGTCAGATCTTTACTGCTGCTTCTATTACCAAACCAGTCTCATCTCTGAATAGATAGAAATAAGACTAATAAATCATGCATTGTTTCAGTATATAAGCAATAAGTGCAATAAGCAGTGGCAGAATATTTCTTCATCTATAAAGAGCTCGTTCCCATGAAGAATTTAGGAATTCTGTTCTGATTGTTGATGTAAATGGGACTTAAATGGAATTGTGAAGGGATCTATTCAGTCACTGGCTGCTAACCAACTCCATCTCTTCACTTCTTTTAGGCAGATGATAGAGCTGCTGCGGAAATCTATCTTTAGTGAATATACAGATTCTGCTGTTGTTTGTGTAAAGTTCAGATTCAGCAAACTTTCTGGCATCTTATATAATAAAGCGTTGTATGTGAGTGCATGTCACTTTAACAACTTTTTCCTGAACCTTGGTAATTAAAATGCTAGCAATAGTTCTATCAAAAAATATTTCCATGTAAAGGAGATAATTAGAGGAATTTCACAGTTGGAAATTTCACCCAACTAGAATATAATAATATTTTATTTCTAATTTCCAGTCAGTTACAGTGTGAAAACTGAGCACTCAACCCAAAGTTTTCTCTAGTGGCAATTTGGATTTTTGCCTGTACCTTGCACTGAGGGAGACGATAAACCATGTTTTGTTAATATGGAATGATTTATGTACTTAATAAAGTGAGAAACTAGAGTTGAATGCAAAGCTTTCTACTCTGAGATTTGCATTGATAGTCATTGGTATACAAGTATTTTTCTAATATTGGGGAAAAAAAGGCAATCCATTCCTTAATGAGATAAATGTTTCCTCTTTCTAACTTGCCAAAAGCTGCTTGGATTCTATTAATTTCTTGTATCTATAAAGAGGTTATTCTGAAATCACTTGATTGTCCCTGCAGAAGTATTTTTTTGAATGAAGAACTGTATTCTGCTAATAGCTGGTATGTAGTGACTATAACAGACTTTCTTCTTATAGCCTTCTTTCTGTCACCAACTTTTTACGTGTTGGCTCAAGTCTGATCACATCTTAATCTTTCTGGTAGAGGTTTGTAAATTAGATGCCTGGTTCTTTCCTTCCTTCCTCCAGACTCCAGATAAACTACATTATTAGCCAAGTCCTTGGAAAGAACTACTCCCAGTGACACAGGATCTCTGCTTTTTGGGGAATTGATATATAAATTAGGATGGCAAAGACACTCTTGATGACAGCATATGAGAGATACGCATTTTATGTAGGCCTTAGATTATAACTTGCTTTAGATCTGGGACTGTTAATTCTGTATAATAGAGATAGAGGACATCCATCCATCCATCATGTCATCCATCTTGTATTGGCTCATTTATAGTGTAAGTGCTGAAAACACTTATGAACTTTTTCCATTATATCTCACCCCAAAATGCATACATGCAATATTTCTCTTTTTTTTTTTTTTACATATTCCTTGATTGCTGTTTCCCATGCTTTTTTGTGGTGTTTGCTGTTGATTTTTTTGCACTGTACAGATTTCTCTTGTTAACTTTTTCATTTCTTAAAATTGAGTTGTATGCCTGGTAACATAAAAAGTATTTGTGTTTGTATGTGTCCACACAGATTTTTGAGAGATTGCCAAATTATTATAAACTTCAGGAGAGGCTGCTGTTCTTGGAAGATCGGATAAGCCAACTTCTGGGAGGCATACAAGTAATATATGTAGAAGAGCTGCAACCCCTCTTGACTCTGGAAGAGTACTATGACACTCTGGATTCTTTCTATAACAAACTACTTGACAGTCGACTGCCTTTTCATCCACAAAGTCTGAGAGGCTTGCAAATGATTCTAGAAAGGTGAGTATTTGCAGGAAAGAATTATTTCATCTAGAGCTTTTACTTTTTTCTTGTGATTACACTGATTATTGCTTTCACTAAGAAGAAAACTAGCAATGATTTCGCATTTTCAGTGTGTTTGTCTTATTTCTAAAGGTTCGGTGTGCCTTTACGTGGGTTAGGGAAAGAGGCTGAAGGAAATTATGCATGTTTTATTCAAGCTGAAGTCAAAATTGGAGTTTTTATCTTATGTTGTTGTGTTGGGTTAAATCAAAGGTTTTGTGCTGTCAGAAGAACATTTATTTATATATATAATGATGCTGAGTATGTATACTTAATATTGTTGACTATGTTGCTAATGAAATGTAATTGAAAGACTTATGTATGATGTTCATGTATTCTTATGAACCAAACTTGATTATTTTTTTACCTACTTTTCTGATTATGTATTGATAATCTTACTCTTATGATCAGAATCAATTCTGTAAGTAATTCATGCAAATAGTTACATGGGAAAAAAATCTTATTTTTCATTTCCATCATGTTTCATTACAGTGATAGATACACGCCAAGCTTACATGAATTTGGACACTTTACCATCCCAACAGTCTGTGATCCAGCAACCCTTCGATGGTTTATTATTGCCAAAGCACAGGAAGCAAGAGAGAATCTGAAAAGAAGGGAAGAGTAAGTGTTTATATCTCAATACATTTTTGTTCATGAAAATCTTTGCACACCATATTTCTCACTTGTAGCAGCGTTAGACCTTTGAGGATAGCATTTTTGCTCTCCTGGTGGAAAAGTAACCTGTTTGTGAGGCAGAACTTTACCTATCAGCTTTATTGAGTTGAAAATTGAAGTGTGCTGTGGATTCAGACAGTTGTTAGGAAATGACTGAGGAAATGATTGTCCTTCATAATGTACAGTTTGTCCTTCAGAAACTCAGAAATAGAGGATTTTTGCCTATGTGTTTTTTTGTTGTTGTTTTGTTGTTTTTTTATGATGTCCCTAAAGAAGAGACTTTCCCATTTTTCCCCTTCTTTTCCACTCTTTCCTTCCTTCCCCACTAGAAGAGTCCTTGATACTGAATAAGAAAATCAACAAACTTCTACTACTTTTTTCTATAGTGACAAGAAAATGGTAAAAACAGCTGAGTCTGACTAGAGAATTACTATTTCTAATTGTTACTCAGTTGAGGAAAAGATTAGTTAGTACATAGTGAGGGGAAGAAAAAAACTAGGGGTAGCATGATGGAAAAAATACCTTCTTGGTACTTTTTCACAGTTGCTGGTGAGAAGAGAAGTATGGCTATAGTGAGTCACAGAACCAGCGCTTACTGTATGTCATGGAACTAATGATATCCAGCACAGCTGTACTTTTGTTGCTGACCTTGTATGTTGTATGTACCTTTGAGGATTAAGAGCGCTAAGTGGAGATTTTATTTTGAAAAAAACACTGATATGTAACTGGGTGGCACTGTCCTTTCACAAGTTGCTAGTGCAAGTTTATTTTTCTGCTTCAGAAATCCTTTAATGAATTGTTGAAACATCATGCTTTGTCATGAACATATCTATGATGTGTAGACCCAGCATGTTCTCTGAAGGTTATTTTAGGAATGAGCCTTACTGAAGGCGTTATGGTTCTAGCTCAAATAAGATCCAGTGCCTTGGGAAGATTCATTTGGGAGATGGACTTTGGTACAGCATGGAGGCTTACTGGAGTTTTTCTATAACCCAGGCACAGCTCTGAAGGTTGGTTATTTTAGCCATGTTAATGATAACTGGTGAATGATGCTCTATCCAGATGCCCGTATTTGACAGATGGAAATGTATGTCTGTGGAGGTTGAGAGTGGTGTTGTAGCAAATATATGCACTTACATCTGGTAACACACTCCCTTTAAGCCCTTCTGCTACCCCTCATCAAGACTACCCAGGAATAATGACTTTAGTTTAGCAGTGAAAGAAATGTGGAGTTCCCCTCAGAGTATAAGCTGTTGTGTTGCAACACTGTAAGAGGCAAAGCTAAGTATCTCAGTTCTTCTGTCTGTTGGATGATTGCTGGTTTGTGTAAAATAATTGAGAACAGCTATACTTAGTCATATCAAAAATCTGTTGATACCTCATCATCTTTTAGCTTCTGGAAAGGCTGTATGAATGGGGCAAAATTATGGTGTTCTTTTTACTCTGTACTCCTCTCCAGTTTCTGACAGTCTGTACTTGACTAAATACTTGAAGCCAGAAGCGTTATCTCATGTTAAGAGCATTCATTAGATTGTTTTTCCCCTCTAAATTATCTAATTATTTTTTTGAGCCAGCTTATATTTTGTGGCTCCAATGTATCCTGTGGCAGCAAACTGTACAGTGGGATTATGTTTGCCATGCATGTTTAAGGAGGAATGAGATATCCTTTGTTTTATAGACCTGTAGCCTGACGATTTCTTTTGACACTCTCTTTCTTGTTCTATAGGTAATATAAAAGTTATTCTGTGTTTATCACCTTTTCTTCTTGGTGTATGTGTGGATATGTGATATTTCTCTGTTGTTAACATCTTACTGAGTCTGAAAATTCCTTTTCCATTTAATCCTTCCTTGAACAGAATTCATTCTGTACTTTTCAACATCCTCCTTAGCCTCCCATGGCTGTTAAAGGGAATCTGAGAGAAAGGAAAGTAGCTGGGCTTCTGTATGGCTTGATGTGCTGGAGAGTTTGGATGCTACTCTTCTACAAACTGTGTTACCTACATGAATAATGTCAGTTGTCTAGTAACACAGGATTTAATATGAATCTACTTCACTTTTGTATAGTGTCTGTTTTATATTGTGTTTCATTGAGGTCTAAGCATCTTTGAGGAAGCAACTAAAGATAAGCCTGCGTTTCTCACTGTGTGCAGCTAACTTGATATCCTTAAGGGAGCTTGAGGCTTCACAGAAGGGGAGACCTTGGCTCACAGATGTCAGAGAACGTGCAGTGCTGTGCAAATGTAAGCAGCTCCTGCACTCACCTCAGATGAAGAGTAGTGTTGAACCCCTTCAGGAGACATTCAGTTCAAGTCCAGTAGTCTCAACAGCTGTGACCGTACTTAGTTTTGGGCTCCTCTCACAGTAGTACTCATTAGATGAGAGGTAGCACCAGCTCTGGAATCTGGAGGTACAGAGTCATCCCATCTCCAGTGCTGCAGACACTGTCAGAGCTAGTTGAATCCAAGCTGACCCAACAGTAGCACTGCACTCCAATCCCTCTGTATTTCCAGGTCTGGTCCAGCCCAGAGCCAGGCAGGAGATGTGGGAGTCTGTAAACTCAGTGTGTAGCAGTGTGCTGTTCTGATCACCAACTGACTCTAGAAGAGGTGTAGCTGTGTTAATATGGCACAGTGCCTGAGCTACAGTCTTTCTGAACCTGCACTGTATTCAGATCTTGCCTTCCACAGTTTCAGAGACTCTTGATTCTGCAGATGAACATTTTTTTCTGAGAAGCCTGAATTTGTCATGTAGTGTTACTATTTGTCTGGGGTGAATTTAAAACAAACAAACAAGCATCTGTAAGCTATTGTTTCACTATTCTGTATGCTTGCTGCAATTAGTAAGTTAGTAGTACATGTAAGATGATTGTATCTGTCATCTATTATTTTTTTTAAGGCATGCAGATGTCACTGGTCTTAGTTGAGAAGGCTGGGTAGTTACTAATATGATTTTACTCTGGAAGCTTGTACTTTCATGGTTGTTTATTTCTATCTTATATTAAAAATGGAGCCTCCCAAGGCTTTTCTTCCAGGTATTTTTCTGACCACCTGGTTAATAAAAAAAAAAAATTCTTCAGGCTTTGAAGTGTGTGGGCACACTGCTGTGCAGTCATGGAAGCACATGTAGTCTAGCTTATTTTTTTCTTAAGTTTAATACTTGTAGAAATTCTAATTTTGTCCCTGTATGCCATCTTTATTTGCTAGGATGATGATTACAGAAAAAGAGCTGATAGATACTTCTGCTGAGAAGTTTTCTTTGGATCGACTGTACAAGGAGCCCAGCGTCACCAGCGCACAGATGATAGATTGTTGTAAGCGACTGCTGGAAGAATCATTACCATACCTACAAGGCATGCACCTTTGCATTTCACATTTCTACTCCGTGCTGCAGGATGGAGACCTGTGTATACCTTGGAACTGGAAAAGCTGAGGACATATCTGATAATCAGATGAATTGTTTATTTTCTGTAAGAGGCTATAAATATGAGTGTTTTTAAGAGTAAATTATTTAAATCTGTATTTTGATATCCTCAAATTTTCTTCTAACTGCTGCTCAGAAGGGATTGGACAATTTGCACAATGCACAGTATTACCAATTCTAGGTAAGAGATCTGTACATTCTCTGTACTACTGTAGGAGTCCTGGTGTACAGTAGCAGTGCGAAATTGCGTTTTTATAGTTACCAATGAAAAGATGTTACATTGCAAGACTGCAGAAATGTGCACATGTATTTTTAATATACGAAAGTATTGCTAGATAGACATCCTTAAACATGGAGAATACTACTCAAATGAGACACTACATATTGTCATAAAGGATTTTTTTCAGTGCAGGAACTGAATATATAAGTTATCTGGTGGCAATATTGGCATTCCATATTGCTGCCTCTTAGCAAATTTAAATTAAAAAAAAAAAATGAGTACGACTGCTCTGCAGAAGAAAACAGTACTTAAGCTTGGTCTCTGCAGTACAGTTTCATGTGCTGGTCCAATATTGTTGCCTTAGAATTTCAACATATGCCAGTTGTACTGTCTATGTTAATTGTAAAGAAGCTGTCATTCGGTTGTTTTCCAGCATTTGCTTCATAAATACAGACCATCCTCTTCGCATGCACTCCTAACAGATTGCAAATCCCATTCACAGCACTTACTGCCTGAGTAGTTTAATGGATCATCTAAGGAAAAGTAGCACTGGTCTGAGTGGGATTGTCTGCAAGAGTAAGTACTTCTCAGTGAGAGCAAGGAGCTTGCAGTAAGGTTCTGTAGAGCAAATGTGTATCTTTACTGGTTCTTTATTCTTTTAATAAAATACAAAGTGTGAATTTGTCAGCAGTTTTTCATTGTAATACATGCTAAGATGTATTTTGTATGTGGGCTACTACTTTGAAAAATATCCTTTGAGAAGAACTAACAGCTTAACGGTTCTGGACTTTAATTCACCTATAACAACTGGCAAAAGAAAAAATAAAAAGGATTTGTCTGATGTTGACTTGCCTTGTATTTACATCTGTGCTGAGGGAAGGTAGTTGTTGGGGTTCCCTGTTTTGCCTTTTTTTTTCCTATTGAAAGGTTCAGTTTTAAGTTACTTTGGTGCCAGTGTTAAAAGAAGCCATTATGATATCAAGCCTATCTCTTTATAAAATGCAGAGGCAGAAGCAGAGATAATCTTGGGCCTATACTTCAGTCCAATTATTGGTAATTCTTGCTGATAGATTCAAAAGATAGGCTGATAGTTTCTTCTGACTAAGCAGTTTATTTCTGTTGCATGTTACTCCCCATCATTCCATCTGACATGGACAATAAGGTCTATGTCCCAGCTGTTTTAAGCAAATGAGCCACTCCCATCAATTGTAGCCTTGCAATACTCTCTGTAATAGCTCTTTGCAAGTACGCTGCCTATAGGAATAAAAGCAATTTTCTTTCTCTTGCTTGAATTGAATACCTCTTTGCAAGCATTCAGGCAAGAGAAGCAGCTGTCCAGTTTGACTGTAGAAGAGAAAAAATGTTTGATGAGGGAAGGGTGAGTAGACCTGACCAAGAATCTGGTATGACTGTGACAGGAATCCTACTAAGTGATGGAGTGAGGACTGACATTAATGTCACAGGAAAGCAGGAGCTAGACCTGGGGACCTTCTCTTTGAATCTTAAAGAAGACAACTAAAACTGTCTGGAATGTAAGCTATAAAAGGCTTTTATGAAATAGAATTTGGGATCTTTCAGCAAGTATAATGGTCTGCTGAGGATCCCGACCTGGCTAGGACAGGCAAGAGTGAATGGAATGGAGCTGAAAATGGGAGTAATGGAAATAATTGCTGCTAGACGCTTCCAATCTGGAGCAGATCTGGTGAGTCTTACCATTCTTCTAGAGGGGAAGTATGTAAAATCTTTTAGCAAAATATGTCAACCCACAGAAGGGGTTATCAGCCTTTGGACATTTATGTCTGGTGGACTCTTGGATTTGTGCAGTAGGTCAGGGATTTCCAGTTCTACTGCTGTTGTCCCATCCAGGGAAAGGAGATGCATGCTAAAATCCCTAAAAACTTCTCAGAAGTTGAGGGGAAAAAACTAATGATTAAATTTAATGTGCATATTATAGATATTTATTCTGATAACTTTGCTTTATTTTGAGCACAACTGCCCATGTCGGTGGCTGTATGCAGGCTGAATCTATCAGAATTATATTCTAGTTTCCGGTGTTTTAATGAGGGGAAAATAGATGTAGAATTCTGACAGTCTTCTGTCACAATGGCAGAGTGGAGATGAAGATTTCAAAGTTTAATCTGCTTCTAAATGGGGCAGAACACCTCAAATCCTGCTCAACAGACTGTGTGCTATCGGCTCATTGTGAAAATAGCTTTAAATGAGTATTAACATCTACTGTCAAAATTCCTACTTGCTCTGTGACCAGCAACTAAAAACATGCCCAGTACTGAAGTTTCAAGAACTGTTTTAAAAACAGGTTCTGATATTAAATCAGAATTGGAGTTGATGTCTTGCCATTTGAATCATGAACGCTTGGCTTCATTTGAGTTTTCTTCCTCCTGTGTAGAAATTTGCAATAAACGTGTGAAAGATAAGTAAAAATCTTTGCCAGTGATCAAAGACTTGGAAGGTGTGCTGCTCATCCATCATGAGTTAATAAACCGTGATGCCCAGAGCGTGTGATTCAGCCTCTCAGAACAGTTTAAGGTTTTAGTGCAGCTGCCAGAAGGAAATTAAAAGATTCGATGTTAGAATAAAGATGCAGGAATTTAAGAATAAATTTATCACTTTTAATGAGTTATTTTGATGCTATCTGATACTTTGGCCCTGAGATGCATGCAGTGGCAAACAGCAATTTCCATTTTGTCAGCTGTCTGTTTTCACATTTTGTAGCATCAGCTCTGTATGAATTCCGGTTACCGTTTTCTGCTCGTGTTTCAAGGATATGCAACTTTGATGCCTTGAGCTATACATAAAAATTGTATGAAATATGTGAAATAGTACTCATCTGATCACTGTGCTTTTGGCTATTGTGATACAGTTAATGGACTTGGGTTCACAGAATCATGGAACGCTTTGGGTTGGAAGGGACCTTTAAGACCACCTAGTTCCAAGCCCCTGCTATAGGCAGGGACACCTCCCTCTGGGCCTGGTTGCTCACAGCCCCATCCAGCCTGGCCTTGAATGCTTCCAGAGAGGGGGCATCCGCAGTCTCTCTGTTCCAGTGTCTCAACCACCCTCACAGTAAAGAATTTCTTCCTAATACATAGTCTAAATCTACTCTCTTCTAGTTTAAAGCCATTTCCCATTGTTCTGTCGCTACCTGCCCTTATAAAAAGTCCCACTCCCCCTTCCTGAAGGCCCCCTTCAGGTGTGGGTGGCTGCTATATTTTGCAAGGCATTCAAAATAGTGGTTATGAATCTTGAAAAAGACTTGAAGAAGGTAAATAGTGCAGCTGATGTATTTGTACATACTCAAAATGCATAAGAGCTTTCCTTGGAGCAAATGGTTTGGATCTAGTTTGTATGCCTTCCAGCTAAAAAGCTTTATGAGGAGATGGTGGCATTTTAAAGCTTAAAAATGTAGTTTTGTTGTCCTGTGAATGCAGTATGTGTCCAAACACGGTTATCTTTGTGATTCCTTGGGCTTATGCATGAATTACATCTGTACTCCATGCATGCAAAGTTCAGCCTTCCCTTAATGTTCCTTATAAGCTTAACAGTGTGGGGGTTTGCAACAATGGAAATCTTACAGAAGAAATGCAAGACAGCTATAAACACAGAAAAAATATTAAGAGATACAGAGCACGTTTTTCTGTTACATGTAAGTACTGGAATAATTTGAGTTAAAAATACACAGCAAAAAGCTGAGATCTCAGTTCTGTGCATTGAAAAGTAATGTTTGAATTTCTCCCTGGAAGAAAGCAGTGGTATGGGTTACAGTAAGAGGAAAATACTTGTTTTGCAGTTTGTCCTCTCCATTCCTTACACCGTCACTCAAATGCTGAATAATTTAACACTTCATTTTTGCTAAATCCTCTGGTATTACGTTGTATGAAGTCGAAGTAGCCAGACTGATTGATTGTCATCTCAGTAATGTCTGGGGAAAAAAAAATAAAAAGCTTTTGAAGATATTTTATTGGTAGAACTGCTGGGTGTTGGTTTTTTTTTTTTGTTGCTGTTGTTTTCTTCTGCATTCTGAAAGTCTCCTTGCTATTTCTTTTCCATAGCTTTTGGATATTGTATGACTTTATTTTAGCAAATGTAAATAGTTTTGAGGACACTTTTGCTCACCCTAATGTGTTTGCCGAAAGAGACCAGCTTTAAATAGGCTCCTTCCCTGCTGTGGGTTGTGCTGACTACAGCCTCCTCCCTGCTCCCCCAGAAGATGCCATAAACTGAGCTGCTGGGTCCCCACTTCTCCTGGGTTTCAACAAGGGAAATAAATAGGATTTTGGAACTGTGACAGTGGCCAGCGTTTGTGCCAGAGGTACTGAGTGCAGCAGCACGAAATGATGCTTAACGCTGAGGTTAGATAAAAAGAGCAGGGTTATAATCTTCTTGTTAATTTAGTTCCAGCATCCCCACCTGGCAGCTCTGCAGAACAAAAGACAATCTGACGTAGCTTACGATCACAGCCGGCTTTAATTTCTTTTTGATTCATTCTCTTTAATCATCTGCTTTGCCATTTGATGTTCCGTGTTGCAGGGCCATAGCTGAGCAGTCAGCGAACGCCCGTGGTAGCCGTGTGCACCCTCTGCCTGTAACAGGATATTCTGGGACCATTTGCTAAAAGCAGCCATCGGATGAGAACCTGATGTCCTCCCTCAGGACCGCCCTGTGATCTGGCAGCCGCAGTTGCAGATCAAGGCGTTTCCTTGATAGCACTTTGTCCAGCCCACACGCTGTGCTACCACTGCTTTGTCACACTCCTGGGAACCTCACGTTCAGGACTGGTTTTCTAATGTGGTGTTTTGAGTTCAGTAAGTCGGTGGGTCATAGTTCTAGATGGAGTGATTGAATTATATGATTGTTTTATAATCATAAGGGCGTGGGCAACTTCTGTTTCCTGCTTGCTGGATGTTTATATAACTACACCATCACAGAATACTCAAAAAGATGTTTTAAGAATAAATGCAAATCTATCAATCTCACAGCTAACTAAAGTTACCAGGAAGTGCTTGACAAGGAGCACTACTAATGTTAGCTAATGTTAGACCTCTCACTGCACTTCGAAGGAGGGAAGATTCCCGTGTGGAGCAGGTCCAGAGGAGGGCCACTAAGATGATCAGAGGTCTGGAGCTCCTCTCCTCTGAAGAAGGGTTGAGGGAGCTGGGCTTGTTTAGCTTGGAGAAGAGAGGGCTCTGGGGAGACCTCATTGTGGCCTTCCAGTACTTGAAGGGAGTGTATAAACAGGAGGGGGAATGGCTGTTTACGAATGTGGACAGTGATAGGACAAGGGGGAAGGAATGGCTTTAAACTGAGACAGGGGAGGTTTAGGTTGGATATTAGGAGGAAGTTTTTCACACACAGGGTGGTGATGACTGGAACAAGTTGCCCGAGGAGGCTGTGGATGCCCCATCCTTGGAGGCATTCAAGGCCAGGCTGGATGTGGCTCTGAATAGTCTGATCTGGTGGTTGGCGACTCTGCACATAGCAGGGGATTGAAACTAGATGATCTTTGTGGTCCAACCCAAGCCATTCTATGATTCTATGTGATGCTATCATAATGCACAGTCCCTCTAACGGCTGACAGCGCATGCAGGGTACCCTGTAGCTGACATTAATATTCAAATGTTCGTGTATTGGAAGTGACAGCTTTATAATGCATAAGAAAAATTTGTTCTTTGTTATGGCTAGTAGTTCCTGCATGTTTGCATGAGACCTGATCTATCTCCGATAAATTATTTATGTTCTGTAAATTCATCAGCCCGGTATGCATCTGGATAGGAGGCTATAAAACAGCCTGTTACTCAAAGTGTTGGTATGAGGCATTAAATTGAAGATACGGGTACGTAAAAAGCTGAGAAAGACGTGGTGTGAAAATAAATGGAAACTCCGAAACCTGAGAGATAAGAATGAGACCATAAAGAGGAAGATGAATTTATCCCATATTCTATCTACTGATGACTGAATCAAGCTTTTACCTGTGTTTCCATGTATACATTTAATTTGCACAAACAGAGCAGTATTTAAGAAGAGAGTGGGAGGGATGGTGTGCTGAGCACTTCTGTCTCACTCTGCCTTAAGCACAAGTGTTGGAGGTGCTCCAGTGGTACTTTGTAGAGATTCTATAGAATTACGGAGTTATTCATGGCACAGGCTGTTTGAAAGCTGCTTTTTTCATTGTTTTAAAGATGATGCTGTTTCATTGCTTCCTTGCTTTGTTATGCTTGTTTATTTCAGAGATAAGCCAGCCTTTCTCGATAGCAGAGTTAATACCAGGTAAAATACGGGCATCAATTAACAGAAGCCTAGGTGCAGTTAGCAATTACATAAAATGAGCGGCATTTCCTAATGATTATTTTGTTCCATACAGATTGGTTCTGCAGACAATTTATGATACCGTGTTCTTCTTGGATAATGATTTTTTGAAGCACGTTCAGCATCGCCCCGAGGCACTGGCAGAAACGGCCTTGTTGTTGGCCGTGCTTGACAAGTAACTGTGATGGGTGGGATTGTGCACATGCTCTGCACGATTCCTGATTTCTGAGAGGGGAAATAAAATTAAAACATGACCACGTAAGGGAGGAGACCTGGAGAACCTCAGTGTTACCATCACAGCGCTGTGGAAGTTTTAGAGTAAGTCTTCAGGTGAAGGCAGACCCCTTACCTGAGGCATAACAAAAGGTATGTGAGAGACGAATGGGAGTAACGGTAAGCTCCCCTAATGCTTCCCTTTCTGTTTTATTAGTCGCCATAAACCTCCTGCTACCCAGGTTGTAACCTTGGGATTTCATTTTATTTTTTTACGACGAACACGTTTAGAAATTTTGTGTCCCATAACTTTAACTATAGCATGTTATTAAAAATTAATTTAATGGTCCTCTAGGATCCAACTCTGGAGGTAGCAAACAAGCGTCTTGGTTATATATTGTCTTCAATTATTCATAGAGAACTATAGGGATTTTCAAGAACATATCTCTAGCCAAGCACAAAGCTGTTCCCCTAATGCCAGCAACAAAGATCCACCACTTAGTTTAACAGAAATGGACGTGATTTCCCCATTGGGTTTCTCTGTTGGAAATGTGTAATATTTTATTGTATTTATAAAGTTTATTACTAAACATGACTTGGGATGAGAAAATCCTGGTGGCGAGGCTCGAGTATCATTTAATTTTGAAAGGACATTTTGCCAACAAGAATTTTAATATATCATCTTGTGTATGAGCACAATAAATAGTTTAACACGGCTTACACAGCATTGTTATGGGTCATTTTCCCACACACTAGAGCCATTTCCTCATCTCTTTGAGCTCCTGATTACATGTAACTTTTGCAGGAGCAAGCCATTGTGTAGCTTCAGTGAAACTGTCAGTGATTTCACCACAGCCCATGTGTTTCAATGTACTTCCCAATTCCTCAAGTGTTGCCACGATGCCATGTTTCTGTAATCCCTGTTGGATGCCAGAAGCTGGATTCAATCACCCCAATGGGTCCCTTCCAGCTTGGGATACTCCCTGATGCTATGCTCCACACCCAGCAATCTCTGCTCAAACAACAGTTTGTCTGTGCAGATGAACTCTTTGGATCTTTTTTAATGCAATGCCTGTTTTTAACAATTATTTATCTGAAGAGAAACCTACTTTGAGGCTCAGCACGGTGCAGGGTGACCCTCTCCAATGCTCTGACAAAGGGAAGGTGCCTGAGCCCACAGCTCCCCTGCCAGAGGAGCCGCCCGGCGCGTGTGATGAAAGATATTCCACCGGGGATCTCCAACACATGCTGCCCACAGATTCCTGGTATTTATTACGGAGGGAAGGGAAGACAAAAGCTCCAGGGAAAACAAAAATCTAGGTCTGCCTCAGGTTATTATAAACTGAGAATTGATAGGCGGTCTCAATTGCCTGTTGCTAAGCAGCCAAGAGAATTGGTTGGCCATGCCCTGGTCCTTTTAAAAAGAAAACGCAAAGCAGAAAGCTGCATGTGTGCATTGGGAGTACGTGAAATAACGTGTGAATGCCGCGTTAGCATGCACGGCCCCAGCGGGTTTTGTGCTGAATGCGTTCAGGAGGTGCTGCCGTGTTGGTGGTGTGAGACTTGCCAGGCCTGGGGCAGGAGGAATAACCAGCGAGCGCCCTGCTCCACAGCATTGCACGAGCACCAGATGGCCACCGACACGGAGCCCTCGTAGTGCTGGGTGTGCAAATGGACTGGAGTACTGCCAGGCAGGGTCCGGCCACCCCATCCCCTCCTTCTCCCAGCACAGCCCTAAAAATAGATGTAATCAGGTTTCAAAGAGGAAACGAAGCGAGCGGGTCAAGTGTCACGACCCCGGGCCTGCTCTGGGGCTGCCTTTCTCCCACCCCAGCCCTCCGCTGGGCCTCCTGCCTGTGTTTCCGGAGCAGCAGCGGCCGAGCAGCGTGCCCCAAGCACAGCCATGGGCAGAGGCCTCTGCAAAGAGGGAGGCAAGCTGAGCTTATCTTGTGGCTGAGGAGCTCAGCATTGCTTGATTTTGCTCTTTGATGATACAACTTGATTAGGTTGATACAGTAGATCAGCATATATATCTTAGACGCCAACAAGATGGGTGATGCTGGTTTGAAATTTACATGCTGCGAAATCACTCTGAAAGACTGTAGTCAGGGTAATACCCCTTCCTCCTCGCACAGGAGGAAATGCTGCTCAGCAGGCATATTCTCTGCTTAAAATGTTTGTTGGCACAAGGTCACAGCTCTGCATTTTCTGCTTCCGTATCTTTAAGATCTATTCTGAGCACATGCCTTCAGCTGTAGTGATGTATGGAAAACTCGTGTGTCACGTCGGTGTTTGTTTGCTTTATCTGTAGAACCAGGCTCTGCCATCTGAGGTGAAGTTTGCCCTGAGATCCTACAAAACCTTTCAGTTCTGCAAATAAGTGGAGCAGCATTGGTTCCTAATGGCCTCTCCCTGCAAGCCCTGTGTGCCAGGACCAGCAATGTTCTGGAGTGGTAGCCACGAGGAATGCTGGTTGGAGAGGGCAATGCATGGGGTATGCTCTGTGGAGATCTCCCCTGAGACTTGCACAGGGGCTCGCTGGGCAGCCCCTTTCTTACTTCAATCTCCAATGAGACTTGGGAGGAAGGAACCAAGCTTTGCTTAATCATCATTTCCAAAATGTTACCTGATGGAGGAAGCATTCACCAAACTGTGTCTCGCTGGCCATAGGACTGCTGATGTGCATGGAGCTGCATCAGTGCTGGGAGTCACAGGGCTATCATGTGCCTAGCCCAAAAATCAAATGGATTTATACAAGCAAAGAGGCTGGACCCAAACTTCACTTTGCACAATGTTTGTTCATTGTGAACAATTTGAATTCCTCGTGGTGCTTTGGCACGAGCTCCTTCAGCTCCACCGTCTTCCCAAGCTATGAGTCTTGCATCAGCTGTCCACACAGGCGGTTTGTCTGTTTCCATGCCTTCTTGAAGGCAATTTGGCTTTCCCACGGGCATGAACCCTTGCTTGGCAAATTAAAATAGGTCTTGGCATACTTTGTTCATGTAGGACCTGACTGGAGGAAAGCCAAGCTGGAAAGGATCCAGTAGTGAAGGATGTTTAACCAGGGAGAATTATCCACTTTGGATGGGTAAATGCTTGATGGGAGGAATGTGTACCACTAAAATATGCAGCTCATGTTTCTTTCTGCAGCTCTGCTGTCTGATTTAGCCATGAGGGTCTGTCTTCCCATCTCCAAAAATTGTCCCCCCTAATGTCAGGCACCCAAAAGACAGCACCAGTTACCTGAGATCTTGTAATCAGTGGAAGAATCTGCTCTTCTGAGATGGGGTTCCACAGGACCTGGTGCCTTTGATAAGACTGAGAGCTAGAACAAGGTCATTCTGCTCCAGATTTTTGTTGTGGACGTGTTTGCAAACCTCAGTGCAGCAAAATGATACCTCCAATATTAATTCAGTCCAGCAGGACAGATCAAGAATATTTTATCAAAAGATGCTTAATAAACTTTTAAGGAATGCTGATTATTTATCTGGAAGAAAACATCTCATCTGAGTGCTCTCGGGAAATGAAATGGTGTAAAAAATGAGAAAGTATAGCAGAAAGTGAGAGCGATGACCATGGGTCATACGTGATCTACCTCCCCATCCTAAACCTCTCTCCAGCAAAAATGAGTAACAGATGTTTAAGGAAAGATGAGAAGTGGGGCAAATGCAAAGTGATCTTCTTCTCCTCCCTCCCAGCTTTTGGCACACAGTGCTTTTGGCAAATCTCTTAGTGCCAGGGGAAAATCATATATGAGATCTTCTCCAATTCTTGTTTATGTGATACATGAATATGGGGTTCTTGTCCTGAATCCGTAAGAGCTCATTCACAGGCTTCTCAGAAAGATTACATTATCACAACAGCCTGATCTTCTGAGCAGTTTTCCACATGACTGCTGTGAGAGGGCAGCCTGCCAGGCCCTCTAAATCCAGCCAGGAAGCCTACAAAGCACTGCTCAACAAGTCATGCTAACTCCAGCTTTCTAGTGGTTACCTTAACGGTTGCTACTGTGACCACAGGGTGAATGGCTCGTGCTCCTTTGCAGTGTGAGAACAAGGCTGCAGCACTGTGTTGCTCAGTCCTCCAGGGCTGATGGACCATTTGTGGCAACTGGGATCCCTGCAGCTCAGCTGAACATCCCCAAGACTTTTGTAGAGAACGGAAGTATCTAAAAAGTGGAACAGGTTGCCCAAGGGGGTTGAGGATGCCCCATCCCTGGAGGCATTCAAGGCCAGGCTGAATGTGGCTCTGGACAGTCTGATCTGGTGGTTGGCAACCCTGCACGTAGTAGTGGAGTTGAAACTAGATGATTATTGTCATCCTTTTCAATCCAGGCTATTCTATGGTTCTATGATTCTATGAAAAAATGCAGGTCAGGGTAGTTTTCCTGGTCACAAGGGCTCTCCCCACTGTTTGATGGATGGGTTTTGAATGAAATGGACTCCTGGGACCAGCTGATGTTTGCACAGCACGTGGAACGATGAGGGCCCTTCCCAAAATGCCCTGCCTCAACTTCGCAGGGCAGAGGATACAGTGGGCTGAGCTGCAGCTCTGTCCCCTCTCTTGGCCACCTCCTACTGCTCAGAGCAGGGGCTGTGGGTCAAGGAGAGGACATGGCCGTCTGAGGGGCAGCACAGGGCTGTAACCCACACCGGAGGCTGCCCGCCTGCTTTCCTGGTCTGAGCTGGTGGTAAGAGAGAAGGGGAAGACTTAGAGCAGTCTAATCCAGCATTAAAGTCCTGGCTAATACTCTCCTTCCTGAGGACACCTGAGATGCAGGGCTGGCGTGGGGGCTGGCTGGTGGCTGCTTCCCAGTTGGTTCTGACAGCTGCAGCGAGTGATCTCCTGTGCTCATCTCTGGCAAGGTATGGTTTCTGTGGGATGGATGCCCCAGGGTTGGGTTTCTGTGCTTCAGGGGCCATCATGGGCCTGGGAAGAAGGGATGCAACTTTCAGGAAGAAGGTTGCTCCAGGTGTTCGAGGTCCAGGTTGGAAAAATTTCTTCTTTAAAAGAGCAGTGAGGCAGTGGCACAGGCTGCCCAGGGAGGTGGTGCAGTCACCGTCCCTGGAGGTGTTCAAGAACTGTGTGGATGTGGCACTGAGAGACGTGGGCAGTGGGCATGGTGGAGGTGGGTTAGCAGTTGGACTAGGTGATCTTAGAGGGCTTTTCCAATCTTAATATTCTCTGATTCAAAGTAAGCATCTCTCCGCTGTGCCAGGTGGGAGATGCTGAACTTGTGCTTCTTTCCAGTAGCACTGCTTGCGAGGGGGAGGAAGATGTTGCACAAGAGCAGAGCTCTCCCTGTAACCCAATGGTTTGGCCTCCAGGAGCAAGGAGAAACTTGTTGTACTGAGAACCCAGAACAGGAGAGGCAGAGAGAAGGCAGAGAAGCCCTCTTCCATGCAGGGAATAGGGCAGGTCATGTTACGTGCAGTTCATCTGAAGATGTTTTTCCACAGTTGCAACCAGCAGCAAGAGGAATTGATGAGATGGTGAAAAAGCAAGATGAAAAAACTCAAAGTTGTTCCTAAATGTAGGTTTGCAGAGTAATAATGGTGTGCAGATCATGGCTTTGGCTACTTAGAATGTGGGGATGCACACATGCAGCTCCAAACTAACAGCTATGTCAATTGACCTGAAAAAAAATTCAGTCAAACTGATGCAAGCCCTGAAAGGAGAAAAGATGTAATAATGTGCTTTGCATTTCCCCATCCTCTTAAGTTGTTAGACCCACTGAGGCTGAAATAGCTTTCAAAAGTATAAACAAATCAAAGAACTAAATGTTCCACAAAGTGATTAACTCACCCAGCCATATGTTTACAAGTGATGTTTACAATTATAATAGTAGGATTGAGACTGGGCTTTTTAAGTCTTTGCTACGTTCTTTAAGTATGCCATATACTGTGGCTAGTGTACATATCTATGTCCTTCAACAACTTTGCTTTCTACCTTTCGCAATGATTTTCTCCTCCTTATTTTTGTTTTCAGCTGCTTGGAGAATGAAATCAGACAGGCCAAATAAGCTTTCAGGTGCTTCTGGCATGGCACAAAGCAGTCTTCCCCTGCGGATGAACGCAAATCTTCCCTGAGGAGTTTCAATCTTGTGGAAGGCATGTGTTGGTGAGCGGGGCATGGGAATGACTCCCCTGAGGTTTAGCACTGACTCAGCTGTGGGACTGCTCAGCATCCTCAGGGAAACCCAAATCCTGGGCCACCGTTCCACATCTGTAAAATGGGGTAGTGCTTTCCAAGCTTCATGGCTGCTGGGAAGATGGTGACCAGTAATGGACGTGAAGAGCTCTACCACTGGGAGATGTGGGCCTTATAAGGGCTGTCATCTCTCCCTTGGGAGAAAAGAATTAAGCAAAATCAGCTGTCTCCACTAATATTAGAATTGTTTTATCTTTAAGTTGTCTTGCTGTCATCTTTCTCCTTTTAGAACTAAAGCTACATTTAAAAGCTCTAAGCTGCAATTTACCCTTAACAATTTGCCAAAATTTGTTGAAAACAGGGGTCAGATCTTGCATTCGATTTTCTTGTCACGCTTCTGAACACAACTGGTTTTGAAACTGTAAATATAACCAGTTTCCAAACACAAATGACTCTGGAGTCTGAGGAAAAATGAAACCATCGTTTAGAAGCTGTGCCAAAAACTGCCCATTACCCTCCTTCAAAATAATAAAGCACAGTGAGTTTTAGCAAAGAAGTAACATTAGTTTATGAGTTCCTGGCCCCATACAGCCAGCTTCCTACCACTGACTGCTATTTCAGACTGCAGCTTAATTCAAGTGTGTATGTGAGGATGCCCTATTGGGATAACGCAGTGAATCTCGCCAATGTTGCGGACATGAATGCCTTTATTCTTCTGGAAATAAAAATGGTGTCATGGGATCTTTCACGACTCCCTGCAGACAGGAGCTTGATTTAAAATGTCATCTGAGGGATCGCATCACTGGAAGCACATATTATTTCCTAGCTCGGTGCTAGGGTGTTGACAGAAAGCAATAAAGTGTCCTCAGCCATGACATGCAGCCAGAAGTTGTGCTCTGGAGGCACTGCGGCAGCTCAGCACCCAGGCACCTGCATCACAGTGAGGGCTCTTGGGTCCTTGGAAAGCACGGATTGTGCCCTTCACTGGAGAAATGTTTCTGCTCTATTTGATGTAAGTACGCTTTCGTACAGAGCTAACAAACTTGAAACAACCCCGGTGCAGCCCTTATTCAGCTCAGTGTTTGACTGTGTAACATACTTCTCCCCATTCATGCTGCTATTTCCAGACACGGTTAGTATTCGTATTTCAAGTATAAAGACCCTCGTTATGCAGAAAATTCCCCATAATTTAGCTATGACTTAAGCAGTCATTGAATTGTGTTAGCTTCATGGTGTCAGTAACCTCCTCTGCTTTGGGCCCCCATTGTGCCCCTGAGAAGGGCTGGATCCTGGGGCTGCAGACCAGCAAGCTGTCAGCAGGGAAATCATAGTCATAGAACTGTTTGAGTTGGAAAAGACTCTTAAAGGCCATCTTCCCATCCACCAGTACCCCCAGGTCCTTTCCATCAGGGCTGTGCTCCATCCTCACATCCCCCAGCGTGTACTGATAGTGCAGGTTGTCATGACCTGTGCCCTGCAAAGGACAATAAATGAGCTGAAACTTTATAAGCTGAATTTTTTCCTGAAAAAAAAGTTGTGTTCTTCTCTGATTTGCTGTCTTTACATTGCAGACTGTACTCTGTGCTGTGCAGCCTCACCTTGAGCACTGTGTGCAAATTTGAGCACCGCAATATGATAAAGACATAAAACCATTAGAGGGTGTCCAAAGGAGGGCTACAAAGGTGGAGAGGGATCTGGAAGGCAAGACATATGAGGAGAAGCTGAGGTCCCTTGGTTTGTTCAGGCCAGAGCAGAGGAGGCCCCTCTGCAACCAGTTCTACTGAAATACATCCCTCGCTTTAAACCAGCTGCAGTGAAATGGAAGGCTTTGAGAAAACAAACTCCTTCCAAACACATCCTTACCTTCATTTTCTCTGTTGACCCTCCTTGATTCTGTACTAGATTTCATGGGTCACTTTGTATCTTTTTCTTCTTCCTCTAATTTTAGTTCTTATCCCACCAGAGGGGTTGTTCTTTTGTAGAAACCCAGCCATGAATTCTCAGATGGCTGTGAGAGCTGAGATGAGGACTGACTGTATTCCATCTTCTTTTTCCTTTCTTCTGCTTTCTAGTTTTAAAGCCGAGTTCTATCAGACCCCATGCTTTATTCATTTAGGAGGATTATTTTAAGCCACAAGAAAAGTCAATTGTCTGCCAGTCTGTAATTATGCTAAAAAAAATTAAAAACACTACTAAATACGGTTTTCCCTAAAATATTTTTCCACCAAACTATATTTCTGTTGAAATTTAGCCATCTGAGCACCAGCTCTTTGTCACAGTTCAGCAGGAGTAAAAGCAGCGGGGCCTGGCATCCTGTTGAAGCTGTCTTCTGGATTGGAGCCAGCAGAGAAATCATATAATAGAATCACAGAATCATTAATATTGGGAAATCCACTAAGACCACCTAGTCCAACCATCAGCCCATGCCTGTGACCACTCTCAGACCACATCCCTCAGTGCCACATCCACACAGTTCTTCAACACCTTCGGGAATGGTGACTGCACCACCTCCCTGGGCAGCCTGTGCCACTGCCTCGCTGCTCTTTCTCAGAAGAAATTTTTCTAATATCCAACCTGAACCCTTCCTGGCACAGCTTGAGGCCATTTCCTCTCACCCTATGGCTGTTACCTGGGAGTAGTGGCAGGCTGGCTCCCGCTCTCCAATTTGCTCTCTCCTGCCTGGGCTCAGTGGCCCATGAGCTCCCCCAGCTGCAATGTGTCACCCAGTGGATATCACCAGTTCACACAGACGAGCAGACCATTACATGTTACGTTACTGTGATCTTTGTTACCCTAAGACAAAGAGTTACATGCCTTTGGCCAAAAACCCATCTTTAAATGCTACAGTCTTGACCCAGGTGCTCTGACAGGATTTAAAGCTCCTGGTAAGGACCAGGAATTGGGATCAAGTGACAGATTTTCTCTGCAGTGCTCTTTTCCATTTCTCTTGTTGGCACAGCTTCCACCTGGCTCTTGCAACCCAGCATCTCCATCTCGTGAGGGCTCCTTAGGAACAAACGCTGCTTTCCAGCAAAAGAAAGGCCCTGGCGTGCACGGCTCTCTTTCTCCCAGCATAGCAGCAGCAAGCCCACATCTCCCCTCCGGCTCCCAGTCCCCCCACCTGCCCCTACCCTAGCTATGTGACGCTAGGGGACAAGGCCAGCCCTGTGCTGTCCCTCATCACCGCCCGGAGACGAGGAAGATGGATGTGATGGAGCAACCCACCGCTGGGTGCCACTCTTGTCCTACCAAACCCCGCCAGAGCGGCTGCCGAGGAGGAGGAAAACCCAGAGCGCGGCTCCTGGGGCGGCCGTGGGGATGCCTGGATGGAGGCAACTTCTACACGGAGCCACACCAACCCTCCCCGCCTTCCTTGCGAGCTGGCCGACATGGGCAACTGTTAGCAAACGTGATAGCAGCAAGGGCAGCTCCACAGTGTGCTCACTTGGCTCTAATTGAAATCACATAACTGAGGCATCAATATCAGAATTCACCTAAAAATGGGAAGTTCTTACTGCAAGTGTCAAATGGATTTTCTTCATGAATTGTTGGTGACTCCTACTAAGTAGTATTTTATCTGTTTAGTGGATGCCTACTAGCAGAATAAACAGAAATTCAGGATTATGTAGGACATATACACTGAGAGCTGGGAAAGGAAGGGAAAGGGGAAAAGGAAGGGGGAGGGAAAAGGAAGGGAAGGGAAGGGAAGGGAAGGGAAGGGAAGGGAAGGGAAGGGGGAAGGGAAGGGAAGGGAAGGGAAGGGAAGGGAAGGGAAGGGAAGGGAAGGGAAGGGAAGGGAAGACATGGACATGATTCTGTAAGTACAGGTTTCGGATTTAACATCTACTGAAAAATTCAGGAGGTACCTACCTACCTCTCTGTTTGACCCCAAGGCCATTTACTCCAGAGTGAAACCCTAATGACCACCTCTCCATGTGGGCTGTCGGAGCAGCCTTTCTTCTTGTGCCACATGGTCCCCCTTCAGAGGAAGCCCCATCCCACACGTGCACAGCAGTAGTACTCCCATAGCCCACAGCAATGTCTTTGCAACAGTGTTCCTGTGTTACTTTTATGACCGCTGGAGATGGATGGACCTAGATCTCCACTGACACCCTTCTGTGTGCGCACAGTCTGTGCTCAGTCAGATGAATCCTTCCTGAACATGTGAGTATTGATGGAATGTGGGCTGTATGGGCTTTCATATGCTGTGGGATCAATCTCTACTCAACCCACATGCTGGGGAGGAAAGTTTAAGCAATATGCTGAGAAATGTTGTCCCCCAAAGACACTAATCTCTCTACCATTCTTTTTTTCTTGCCATATTTCTCTTTAAGCCTTCTTCAGGAAATTACTTGTGCTTTTAAGGTGAGATCTCTGATCTACCAGCAAGTGCATCTCCCCTTGGCCACAATCTGTGCTTCACACACAAAAACTATTTCAGCTGTTTCAGGTGTCTGTCAAAGCACTGGTATGTAAACTGAGGTGAAAGAAGGGATGCGGAGAATGGAAGAATGTGTACCTGGATCTGAGGCAGATGGGAAAGCCCACCTTTGGGGCTCAGCACAGAGCTCTGAAATCCAGGACTTTAAATCAGAGCATGGGCCACCCCCAGGCTCCTCATTCTCCTAAGGAAATCATCAACCTGAAATACATCTATCTGCTTCAAAACTGAGCAGCTAGGAGGTAGTGAGGCAAGCCAAGGAGCATTTATTATCCAAAATCCTGCAATGGGCTATGAAAGCATGCAATTAGGTCTTCTTTTTTTCTTTCTTTTTTTGGGGGGGGAGGGAGGGAGAATGGGGGGGAGGGAGGAGTTGTTTGGTTTTTTTTGTAATTCGTATCTTCCCAAATATCTCTGAGCATTTTCATTACTTTGTAAAATTTCACCAAATAGTTCAGACAAATTGTCTTCAGCAGATGGCTTGTTATGAATAGCTTGTGAATTTTTCACTCTGACATCTGTACTGTGTTTGTTGGGTGGTTTAATCAGTTCCTGGGCGGAATGACTGAGATGTTTGCAAGGGAGGAAAAATGAACACAGGATACTAAACAAGAAACAGTGCGTTTCAAGGACAAACATGTTAAGCTGACTGGAGTCACAAACACTTCCAGAGATTTCCAGCCCTCACCGACTCTATTGTGGATGCTGGTGGCCATCGTGTACGCCTGCAAATCAAACTCACGTTGCTCATTCAGAAGGGGAATTGTGAACCTATTCTCATTATTTAAGAGTCACATTATGTAGCCAGAACTTGTGAGCAGAATTTCCATTCTGAGGAGTTATATTTTAACCACGT